CAACTCGCGTTTTTCGTCTCTCTTTCTCCCTTTCTCTCCTCCCCCCCCCTCTTTCTCACTCTCTCTCTTTCTCTCTCTCTCTCTCCATCTCAAATTTCACAAACTACAAAAAGGTTTGAGGAAATTTTCCGACATTTATTGCCTTTGGATTACGATTAACCCGCGGTAATTGTTGCGAGGTGTATATGACGTGAGATATTTTGATACATTTTGATTAATACTCTAACTGTACAATAATTAATTAATTAATTAATTAATCATACAAAGTGAATCGCGCAGCCGAATAACGATAATAGCATACTCGCGAAATGTTTGCAAATTATTCCAAAATGTTTGAATGAATTAATACAAGCAATGGTTATTTAAAGACGTATTAAAATGCACAGTGTTTTACATCACGCACATTATGTTTTTGAAACATTGGAACTTTAATTACGATTATTAGAGTTCATTTTATCAGCAGTGAATGATATAGAAATGTTTTCAAAATTATTGAAAAGAAGCTGTTAGAGAAACTTTTATATTTTCATGTTTCACGTATAGCTCGGAAAATATTTTGTCCGCTACTATATCGATTTGCACGTCAAAAAGCCAATTTTGGAAAAGCAAAACATTTTATTGATGATGATACTTGAAAAAGCCCAGTTTTGAAAATCTCACTGAAATGGATACCCTCTCGCGCGTTTCACTATGTCTCATAGTGTCTCGCTATGTCTTTTTATTTCTACATGTCGTTGAAATTTATAATATATTAAAACTGTAATTTTTCGCGAATTTATTTTAAACAGAATGTGTAAATAAATGGAGAGGTGAAAAATGTAATTTATATTAATTTTAATCTAATCTTAATATTTATTAATTATTAATTTGATTTAATAATTATTTAATATATTTAGTAATTATTAATTTGAGATACAGAATTTCCTCCCTATTCATATATTTTTTAATGAAATCTCTCAGGAAAATATTAACCTTAGAATCATAAATTATCGTAAACTTCACGACATACGATGATTTAGCTATTAGGAAAAATGAAAATATAATATTAATGATCACACACACACACAACAGTGTTTCACTGTATCGTGAGCAACAACAAAAAAGGAAGAAAGAGAGTTGTCAGAGACGGAAATAATTTGTAGATTAAAAGTATGGGACGATTTATAACGAACTACACAACGTATAAAACTAAAAACTATACACTAAACTGAAGTAAAGAGGGGTAAACGGCTCACTTAATCGGCCGTGCCTATCGCGAGAAAACGAAGCTTTCCGTGAGTAAGGCCACCCCTACATAGCCACCCTCGAACCGCCGAAGGCGGTGGGCGAACCAGTTAACGTGTTGTGAGAACTTTTCTCTCGTTCACGTCGAGCCGTATCCTTTTTCTTCCTTTCGTGTCTCTTTTGATTTTTTTTTTTTTTTTTTCGTCGCTTTTCCTTGCCTCCCTTCTCGATCGATACATTTGTCAAGCAACGTATAAACGCCACTAAGTTCACGGCAATTCCACGGTAATGTACGAGGAGAATCGACCGTCAAAGTGTTTTGCTGGACTTGGGTCATACATCCTGGGACGCTCGCTGGTCGTCGCCCTTCGGGGAAACACGTGCAGGACAACTATCCTTTACGCCATCTCGTAAATAACTATCACGGCCGTTTAGTGGCCGGAGATTTCAGTCCGCATACGATGTGGAATTTAGCTCTCCTCTTCGCCACGCTTATATATATGCCGCACTTATACGCCTAGTAACTACTCATTCTTATTTACGACAGGAATTACCAAATGAATTCCCCTCTCGGATTTGTCTTGCATTGACAACGTCTCGTTACTCCTCTTTCACGGAGACTATCCCTTTTTTTCTCTTATTCACCAGCACTCCACCGTTCTTCTCTTGGCACGCCAATGTCAGATTATGAGCTCTTTGTCCCATCACGCTTACGTGTGATCGATGGTCCTTGCCGGTCGGGACGAAGGGGAAGGAAGATTTACCGACGAAAGCGCCGTGATTTTTTGAGAGATTGAGGTCAAGAGGAGAGGTATACCCGAGATATTATATCCCTCTGATTACTTTTGTCACTTTTGTATCCTGCGAAAATACTCTCATTTTTTAGTATCACCACGGGTATTCCCATCATCGCCACCGTCACCGTCGCCTCCTCCAGCTCTTAATTTCGGTCTCACTTCCCAACTGATACTCTCTTCCTCGGGGTTCTTTTACCTCTCGGGTCTTTAGAAGCAGCTTCTCCTCTTGCAATTTTATCTGATGGAAGCCAAGGGAAAAATCCGGTGCCAAGCTGTTGAGCTCGAGTTTAGCTCTTCGGTCGAGCGAAAATATCCCTGGCGTTCGGTTATCTGCGCGTAAAAAAAAAAAAAAAAAGAATTATTTCGGATCGAGATTTTATTTCCATCTACGACTTACGATCTCTGTTGCACTTTCTCGCGCTCTCGACTCTAATCCTCGGCGGCACATCGTAAAGTAAAATCTTGACGTATCGATCGCGATCGATCTTCCATGATAAATTCAGACGTCTTCTTGTACCAGACTTGTTGGAGGCATCCACTTTTTTTTGTTCTTTCCTTTTATTTTATGAATCTGACGATACGGAGTACTTTCGCGTTCCATCTGAGGATCGCACATATATCATCGCGGCATCTCGATTCGATAAGATACGAGAGAGAGAAATCCGGGACCACGCGCCCCGAAGAGACGCTTGATTTATTCGAGCACAGCGAAAATCTTTTATTCCTCAATTATCGTCGCGTGAAAATATTTTAATCCGTCCCTCGGAGTTTAATTCTCGCTCCATTTCCGCTGCTGTAATTTCCACAGCTCGATTTCTCTTTGTCTCTCTCTCTCTCTCTCTCTCTCTCTCTCTCTCTCTCTCTCTCTCTTCCTCGTTCTCCCCTCTCCTCTTATTGAAAATATTTTTTCTATCCTTTGAATGCCTCGTGTCTCTTCGATTGGATGCATTATTCTCATACGCCTTTATTGAATTTATTATCCTGGCTCATCATTACTCACTGCATTACCGGAATCGCTTCTATCGTTTAATCCCGATTTACTCTCTCTTTCTCTCGTTTGCTTATTTCCGTCGTCGTAATATCCGACGCCACCTTACAAAGATAATTTTCTTGTAAGAGGCGCAAAGTAAAAGCGTACACCTAGATAAATCTAATTTTCATTATTACTGCGAGCCGCTCACTGCGGAGGAATTGACAACATGATTTTCTATAAAGAAAATCCTGTCTGTACAAGTAGAGTTTCATAATTCTACTGGCACTTTACTCTTTTAGACACGTTTATCACGGCACGGGTGTTTATCCGCAAACAATCGCCACAGGAAAGAGAGTCAGGTGAATGTTACCGCTAAGCCGGAATACCAATCGGTCCTGCTGTACGGTAGCGTGATAGAAACCACATTCGGGAAAATGCTAAAATCCTAGAAACGCTAAACGAAAAACACGAACCCACGGAGATTTATACGCGACCAAATTTTCCTCCCGCGAACGTAAATTCACTCCTCGCTGTGGAATAATGACTGTGAAAGTTTCCTGTTCTCGTTTCACTGCGGGAATTTCAGGATTTTCCGAAAAAAGGATTAGTGCAAGCGAGAAGCAAGCGAGAAGCCCGGTACATACGTTTCTTCTAAGTCTTTTATTCAACACATTCAAAAAATAAAATTAAAGTTGAAGAGAGTGAAAAAGAGTAAACAGTCATATCACAGCAGATGTTACCTTTATAAACAAATAAGATGTTCACAAAAAAAAAATGTAATTATTTCAAAATAAAATGACAAGTTTTCCTAAAATTTTATTTAAGAATTAAGTTAATAAATTTATTAACAGTTCCAATATATTAACATCCTTATAATATAATATTTATTGATGGTAGCATCAAATTATTAAATTGCTTGTTAATTTAATTCGAGATTACTAGAGTAGTTTTAATTGCGTTTATAGTCCGGAAAAACAATTCGGCGCGCAGTTCTAAAAGACTACAATATGGTATAGTTACATGCAAGTACATATATAGTGTATATTAGTAATTCAAGATTGATTTATTTAAAACAATGAAGATCCAGCTTCGACCGTAATAGATATTTTTCTAGTAGTGATCGTGTTTCTCACATATGCGGTCCAAATTAAAGATTCTTAATATTATTTAAGAATTAAGTATACACATTCTGCGATTTCTTGCAATGATGTGTGTGTGTGTGTGTGTAAAATAATTTTTAAGATTATATTCTATTATATTATATTTTTCCAATTATTAATTAGGAATTAAAACCTCAATTAAAACTTATATATATATATATATATTCATGGCATAGATACAATACAATAAAACTAGAATAACAACCCTTAGGAAAAAGTGTTTCAATATACAATACTGATTAACTATTCTGAATTATACTGAATTATACTGATGAAATATCAGTTTCTGAATAGTAGTAATCATAGTATATTGAAACACTTTTTCTGAAGGGAAATTTGATACTGTTTTACGTTTTAATATAATATAATTCAAGTCGGATTTTGTCATATTAATTTATTTTGCTTGGATCATTAGAATTTTATTTTTAATAAAACTGAAAGAAATAAATTTTTAAATATCATTAATTCTTCAAAAATAAAATAACCACCAATATGTATAATTTCATTCTCTCATTCGTATAAAATATGTATAGAAAAAAACTACCATCACTTTCAGTTTTTTTCGCTTATATACATTTCTCTTTAATTTAGCTAAACTTTAAAATTTGTATCGTATTCCCGACGAACAGTTTATCGTTTCGTGTCATGATCAATATCAAGATTGGCAGAATACATAACGATCGTTATATAAAATACGTATAAATGAAACACGCGGGAGACGCTAACCTAAAATGACATTGATCCCTATGATCGCGCGAATAGAAAATATAAAAAGTAATATACGACGAAAGAATTTACTGGCGTAGTCAGCGAGCTTAAACTGTCATTCCCTAATAGGCGTTCTCTTCAGTCTGTCTTGTCGATTTCCAGCTCAACGAATTGATCGTGCTGGCCGAAAATCGTATCCAAGCTGAGTTAATCGCGTCTGAAACGACGTTGCGGAAAAACTCCCAAGCGACCGATCAATTTACTAGGAGACTTTATCTCGACGGCATTCTCAATAATTTTTTTTTTTCTTATGATAATACACCTCCTCGTCAAATGGGGCAGATTTGATTCCGTTCCGCGCCAAGGAATCTCCGCGATCCGCGATCCCTCATACTGACGACGTTATATCACTCCGAATGATTTATTCCAGCTATCGCCGTCGCACCAAATCGCTCTCTCCCTCTGCTTCTCCTCCATAAATGCGAAGAATAATTCCAGCATATAATACCACGAACGGACATATGTCTGCTTTATGAGTGACCGGCATTGTGCATAAATGGATTAATTCGGATATCACGCAAATCGTGCATAAACATCATTTCATCTGAATAGAATTGCTTTAAACGTTCTACGACGGTAAATTCGCATAATCACGTCGCTACGCGACATTTAGTTTCTCATGAGGAAACATTAAATTGGAATTTATATAATATATGAAAGAAATATAGAAATATGTTTAATATTCATGGAAATATTATCTCACAATGGAAACTCTCTGAATAGAATTTTCAAAAATATATTGTAATTTCATTATAAGAAATATCTATATTTACTATTTTATATATATTTATATATCGAAAATCCCAATGTAATGAATTTTATTTGATAAAACGAATTTTAATATTATTTTTACAATCTTTTCCCAAATGTATTATATATTTCTCCTAACTCCTTTCGATTTATCTGGATAGATGCTATATATTTTTCCTGGCAAGACTGAAGAGATACGAACGAATGCATTTTTAATGTCCACATACGAAGAGTTCGATAATGGATGTATTTTGTGCAATACCCGTGTCATCGTCGAAAACTGATCTCTTAATAAAAATTGTATGATATTCTTAGAAAATGCGGATGGATTCTTTTATATATTACGCTTCTATATATATAAATTGATAAAAAAAATCTATCGTTTTTATTGGGATTTATACATATATATATACATATTTCTTACTATAATTTTTTGTATTTATGTTAAATAAGCATAATTTTAATTTGCGAAATAGTTATCAAGATATTTGAATGTAGTATTATACTTTATGGAGATTAATTTTCCAGAGATTATGAAAGAAAACAAAAATGAAATTTAATTAAATTTAAAAGAAACATAATTTTGTTGTAAATATTAACATTACTGCGAATTGCGTATAAAACATTAATATTTATATTTATATGCATATAAAATATTAATTATTCAGAAATATTATTCTAAAATATTTAAGCCAGCAATATTAATTCGAACTTTATTTTTAAAATATAAATTCCTCGAAATCGTTAGTCATCGGATAATATCGGCTTGCAGATATATTTTCTCATAAAACTGTATAGCATCATATACACGCATCTTTACTTCCATGCACTTTCTTCTTTCTCTGTGCCGTACGAGAAATGCGCTCGGTATGCGATTCGTATAATGGAAGAGGGAAAAAAAAAAAAATAATCTAAGCTGCACCTACGCATAACGTGAAATATAGCGCAATAACTCACTACTCGCGTCAAAATGCTCCAAAACATCCTTTTAACAATATCGTTTACGTTAACATAGCAGTAACACCGGTTTTAGGCGTCGATTTTTATTTGAGATCCCCGGCTGCCATGTTCAACGTCGGGGATAACTTATCACGCAAAAAGAACGCAACTGCACTGCAATTGCATCGTGGCGAACTAACGTGGGCATATCTCTTCCTTCTCTCCGCCTTTTACTTCAGCCTTACACACAGGGCATCGCGCCGTCCGAATTACAAAGACCACTCCGCACCCACGTCGACAATGAACTGTTATCTACATGTCAAACTCACTCCGGTCATACCGAAGAAATTCAGAACCTCGAGCGTAACATCACCGCTTAATGGAAGATATTTATAATTATAAATTAACTTCACTGTCAATTTTGACGGGGGGGGGGG